ACTTTGTTCCTTTTAGAATTGAAATCCACAAATGTATTTCATAACATGTTTATTACATAGCCAGTTATTTATTTGCGAAAGCTTCATTAAGCTCATATCCCAGCACACCTTTCTGGGAGTTAAGCTCGTGTACCAGTCACTTAAAGTTAGCACTTTAGCTTAGCAAGTTTGATTTCATAAATTTGCTAAAATTATCGCTATGCCTCCTGTATCCTCTTAATGTACGTTATCAGTTATCCAAGATCTGAGAAGTTTTTGCTCAAACAGACTCTTTCTGATCTCTATATTGCAATCTTACTAAGTTCAATAGACTATAGATTTGGAAACATAGTCGGCTTCATTTCTTATTTGATGATATATCTACTTTATTTTCTTTCTGGCTGATGTGCACTTTCTTTGATATGCTTAAATCCTAGGCAAGGTTATTTCAAACATGGTGCAGATTAGTGTTTTAACAATTGTCCATTACTCATTTCCTTAGATGTCATTCATGTTCATTTTCCCCCATTCACAATGATTCTATACAGTCAGAAATAGTGGAAGGATACATTCTGGTAGGTCTCTACTCATTGGATCTGTAATATAAGAAAGCTGCATCATTGTAAATTTATTTTTTATCAATCTTTTCTCACTGACAAATAGTTTGTAGAATATGTTATTTTTCAAAGAGAAATGTAATTTTTTTCTCAACACACAAATAAAATCACCTTTCTCAGTTATTAAGTCCTTCCTGATCCCTTTCTGCTTCTGAAAAAGTCAAATTCTATGGTATTCTATGTGAATAGAAATAGAACTTCTTCCAGTTCATTTCCACTAAGGCTGCTTGGGTATTTATAAATTACAAATTATATCAAAATTCACTTTTATATCTCACTCCCTGAGGCAGCTTGTCACTGTGGGGAGGTATGACCCACTGTTGATCAGAAAAAAAAGAAAGAAGAACTGAACTTTCAGTGGTTGTCTTGTGGTGTAGTGTTACAAACACGTTTTCAGGCATGCAAAGCAAGACAATACAAACATACTCTTATGATATATCACTGTTGCATTGTCTTTCTATAATTCCAAATAATGTGCAATCTGTAGTAGGAGAGGAAGAATAGTCTATTGTTACTTTAACTTGTATTTGTATTCTAAGGCACTGTATGAAAACTTATTGTCAACCTGATATTGTAGCAGCTCTTAACATATAGTTACCTGGGACCAACATTATTTGATCAAAGTAAAAAAAAAAATCTCTTATTTTATTTATAAGCCATCTGCCACAACCCCTTATCATTTACTTGACCCTAAGTTACAGTTTCCATTTTAATGGTCCTATTAGTGTTTGGGTGGTTTCTATGAGGATGATTCAATAAACATTGTCCAGAAAAAGCTAGATACTTTTAATGTCTAATCCTCTGGAATGTTTATTAACCAATAACGCTGAACCTTCTGACAGTTTTATTTCTGAGAATGTTATAACGTTGTTATGCATCCCACTGGTAATTCCACATTACCCAAAACTCCTGTGTAATGTAATGAGTCTTACTGAAAGCAGATGCAGCCAAATTAATAACAAGGGCATCAATTTACTATGGAAAGCCACATAGTGGGAGGGATGGGATGGAGGAAAAGAATGCAGAAAAGAATTCCGGTTTGCTTTTGAAAAAATAAGAAGTAGCTGAATAAATAGAAACAGAAATATAAGGATTTGAAACTCCAAATGTACAAAGTAGGTTCACTGAAAAGAGTATTTCATCATGCATTATATATTTACTGTTTAAGTCATAGTCTCCAAACAAATTGAATTCAACTTTATTATAGGATGAAGGAGCTCTAAAAAATTACTGGAACCCCTAAATGTTTTTGAATTTACTTCTGTGAATAGATTTCCATGTGTTGCATTTTCTGTGAGGCCACCCTGCAAAGGTCCTTTTATCACCTGTTAAATAGATGCTACTCCGCTTAACTAACCACAAATAAGGCTCAGTTCAGTACACTTCATACAATGCCTCTAACAAAGGGAAGCCTTCAGGTGAAACTCCATACTTGATCGTAATGAACCTGGTAAATGTTGGTTTCCTGCAATAAAAATATAGGTGAACTCTTGGCCTATTGAAGTCAATGGGAATTTTGGCATTGATTTTAGTACAAACAGTATTGCAACCAATAAATCTACTGAACAAACTAAAAGAAGTGGGTGATGGAAGGAAGGGGAATTAATATAACAGAACTTCTACATTATTTCAGTCCTTGTTCAACCCTTCTTTGCCTGAGTGAATAGCTCTTGATACTCCAGAGATGTGCTCACAGAAACTATTGTGGCAGTATAGTGAACACCAAATATTTACAAAAGCATTTAATGAGTAATTCTGAAACAGGAAAGTCAGCTTTGTTGTTATAATGAGTCAGTCTCAGATTCAATTTGAAGCTGTTTTAGGGGTGAGTAACCAAGGGCAATTGCCCAAGACTGGATAATATGGGGAGTGTGTTAGACTGCAATAATTAAAAGTACAAGTTATATAGTATGCCTTAATCTATGCCTGTGTTCTTGTTAGTCTAAACCTGATGTAGCTCCACACAGAGGCAAATAGATCTTTCAATCACAATCCTTTGTGTAATATGAGTAAAGTAACAGGCAAAAAATATCTAGAAATATAAATGTCTTTTTATAATTACATCCCTATCTGTGGGGGTTTGTTTATTGATATATGAGAGCATCTAATTTCTGATGTGTAATACACACAGTTACCATATTTTTGCATGGGTTTTCACAGATATCCATTACACACATGCACCACATGGCCCATGTACAGCAAGACAGTTTCAGACACACCACAGATGTGCTATGTTCCTATCTGGAAACAGAAGACAGTGGATATGAGAAAATACGTGTGCTGGTAACCCATCACAGGTAGTACCATGACTGGAGAGCCCTGTGTTTCATTAGGAAGTGAAACCTGTGGAAGAAATTATAATTTCTTGTTTAGATGTTCCAGAATCAATCTCCATATTCTGGACCTGAATATGGAGAAGGACAGCCATCCACTTTGTGGGGGTCATTTGGATTGTTTGCAACTGAGGGATGGTTTGGTTAAAAAAAAAACCAAAGCAAACAAAACATTACTGGTTAGAAAACAGCAAGAAGCAAAGGGTGGCTAAAAACACATTGTCTGATGAGAGAGAGATATACAGGCAAAATATTTCTGAACATAAAAGCTTGGGGTAAAAATGTGATGGACCTGTAAAATCCTCCTTGTACTAGCTTAAGGTCTGTAACACTTGTCTCACAGTACTAAACTAAATTTGAACATTAAACTTACACTCAAAGTAGAAAATGGTGACATCCATTGCAGACATTACTTTGTAATACACAGTTTTCCTTGGCTGTTAAATCTTATTTTGTACTTATCAGAGTATTCAAAAATAAATTTTACCAACCACTTGAAACATTCTCCAGGTTTCCAGCCCAGAGTAGTTACCCGGCAATTTAAGCAAACTTTTTTATTGTCTGAAACTGTAGAACATCTGCTTTGGTTTTGACCATCATGGGTATTGCTTCTTCAAGCTGGGGTAAACAAACAAACAAATAAAACATCAACAACTGTCTCATGCCAAAAATATTTTAGGCTGTGTCAGTGTTCATTCTCTGCAAAAATGTTTATAAAACTAATAAGTGCACAAAAATAATCAAACTAGTAATAAATATTTTGTGGACTCAGCTAAGTGTCTCATTAAATCATCTACAAGTAGTGACCCCTAAGCACAGGTATGCTTATAGATAAGATGAAAGCAGCCTTCTTATTAATCACACTGTATATGTGACTTACTTCTGCTCCTTTTTTAGTCTTTAAATCAATTCCATCTGGCTCTTACTATTTAGTCGTGCAGCTTACTTTTCACAGTGAAGTATACTTACTGCTTCAGAACCAGCTCCAATGTGATTGAAAGTATGAGGTAAAGCAGTGATTGCTTAAGTCTGGAGTCAGCTAACCATATAAAAACATGATCAGTTACAAAATGAAGCTGAGGATCAAATCTTCATTGGGTGTAAACCGGCTGGACTTCAGCTGATTTCAGTGGAAGGTATTGAAAATGGTGTTCTGGGGCACCTTTCTTTATGTTAATACTTCATGGAGCACGTAAAGCACAATGCCAGAACAATGCTTGTACAAGTAAAAAAGAATCTCATAATACTGTAGACTAGCCCTGGGTTTATGGTCTGCTGCAGCAAGGCAAGGACCTCAGCAGCTAGAATGGAATGATCCTGCCTTATGTTAACTAAAACAAACCATAATAAAAAGTTGCTCTCTCTGGGGTGCTCAGTTTATTTAGAGGGTCCTAATTCAGATTCTATTCAACAGACTGCCAATGCAAAACAAAAAATATCAAGACACCAAAAGCAAAGGAGGAGCAAACCAACTTTCTATCTTTTTTGGTCAACAACTTCCTTCTTTTATTTTAGAGACTGTGTCCCTATTACTTTACAATTGTTTGGTCACAGTTAAACTAAACTGTGTTCATTGCTGAGCTGTGAAAATCTTTGTGGGGACCTAACCAAATAAAAAGTCACATTGCTGAATGATTGTGAGACAGGCACAAACCAGGGGAGATAGGATATGGTAGAGTCTCCTCCAGGAAGGACTTACATGTAAGCTGTGATGTGCAAGTAGGACCTGGTGTTTTTCTGTGATGTGCTGTTCTTTTAGGGGTTCATTTTAGAGCTGCCATGACATCTCCATGACAAATGCACACTGTAACCTGAACACACACAGAGGCAGGCAGGGTCTGCTCCAGCTCATGCCAGCAGACTATGATACTTGGAAAAACATTGGGACTCTGTGACTGAAAGGAGCAGATAGTCAGGTCCCTACCTCAGTCACAGGGTTAACTGAGACTTGGGCTCCCCCTGGAAATAGTAAAATTTCTACTTTTGAAAAAAATGCCACCTATGCACCCTTATGTCACATAATGCCTAAACAGGCATAAATACTGCAGCATCAGCTTTTTCTCTTTTCCAGCTTGAGAACTACATTGTGGAAAACATGAAATCAGAGATGGTGCAGCTGCAGCAGAATGCTGTGCAGAACCACACTGCCACCATGCTCGAGATAGGGACCAGCCTCCTCAGCCAGACAGCAGAGCAGACAAGAAAACTCACGGATGTTGAAACCCAGGTATGTTCCCAGAGTGTTTTTCTAAAAGCTGTTAATTGCAGAGAAGGTTTCCCATCCTCTTTCCTTTCTAATGCATACCACCACACAAAATATTTCAACACAGGGCTCCAAGATATATACACACTCCCTTTCTTGGTACCAAGAGCAGTGATGATTGACCTTTGTTATGTGACTTGATTTGATTTGATTTGGTTAGTATATTTAGCCCTGTCTGCGCAAGAATGACAGAACTGTCCAGGAAACTAAATCAGCATTTCACTTTGAATAAACAGCCAAGTTACCAACTGTGAATGATACAAGTGTCAAGATAAATAATGAGTTTCAAGCTAAAACAGAGACTTTGATCTGCATTGTTGTTTGTTTCTTTACTATTCCAAGAAAGTTTGTTTATTTTCTGCAAGTTGTTTCCAGCCGTTTGAAAAGTAGTGTATGTCTGCAGCTTTTAAACTGTGAAGAGAGAGACTCATCAGCTTTGTTATAAAGCACTGTACATGTTTTATTACTGTAAAATTGTATCACATCACATGCATTTAAAAAAACATTTCCATAAAATTCCTAGCATTAAAATCACTGTTTTGATTGAAGTGACATGTATCACAGTCATGGCACTGAGTACAATTTTCATATTGGACTTCTTGCAAAGATACCTCTTTTTGCCTTTTGAATTCTTTTATCATTTTGAGATGCATATTTGTTGCCCTTATTTTTGCTGACTTCCTGACGATCTTCATAGCATGTGGTGCATTACCAGCTGCACTGCATTCAATGTTCATTTGGAATAGGGGAATTAAAGTATTGCATTTGTTTGTCTGTTCTAGTAGCATATGTACTTCTCAAAAGATCACATTTTCTGTTCTAATGTCCTTTCTTATGCTTACAATATTATTATCAAGTTTTTATGTAATCACATTGCAGCACACTGAGAAATAACAGTAATTATGAAATGCAGATAAAGTGTTTTACGTGTGTTCCCTGCACCTTTTCTCCTACATCTTGGATGATAGATCAGTATTCACTTATATATGTTGTGATCTTAAATTACCACAGTTCCTAAAACAGTATATTGACTTATCAAAATGTTGGGGAAAATCCTTAATTCAGCATCAACAGAATATCTAATTGGAAACATAAGACATGAAGCCCTATGAACTGTAGTACCTTATGTTCAGTAAAGGAGGCATAGGAACTATTCTTATATCCCAAAAGAACTACTTAAGCATAAGTGTTGAGTACTCATTCATGGTTTCCCCCTTTAAGCAGGTAAGGGACAAAATGTTGCCTCTGTCTCAGTTTTCCTTTGAGGATTCACTTCAGAGTAGAGGTATCACTGGCATGTAGGAATGGATGCTAAAAGCCTATTGATGAAGAATTTAAAGGATGTTCAAGATACCTCAAGTGGCTCTTTCTTGTTGCTGTACTTGCACTGACTTGCAGCGCAGTGACAGCATTTTCCATCTCCTTTCTTTCATCAGTATGAGAAAGCCTCTGTAGTCCCTGGCTATATCATCAATTAGAAAAGAGTGGTGCAGGTGGCTCAAGAAAGTGAAAAAAAAAAGACTGCTTTTAACAGTGATGAAGGTCTGTAGGATACAAAGAGGAGAAAGGCAGGTCAGGTTCCCATGCTTGTAACAAGCAGTATTCATACCAGAGCAAGAAGGAGTCTGAAGGACTGGAGGTAGAGATTCTATCTCCTTAAATCTCACTAATCCCTCTCAATCACTGATCCATCAAAATCCCACATATTCCCTTTAGGCCTTCTTCTCTACCTAAAGCTCTACTGACATTTTGTAGGCTGCTCCACAGATATATTCTCTTTGGAAATCTGTATTTTCCTCACTTCTTGCCTCTTGCCAACCTTCATAATACACTTTCAAATTCTTCCAGGACCTTCTGAAACTGTTGTGATGTGTCCTGGCACTTCCAAATGTACCCATCTAGAGGAACACAATAGTTGCATACCAATCATTGCCAAATTCTACCTCTGTACCCTTACAAAAGGACAACTCAAATTGTTCTGTGAATATCAACAATTTCACACAAAAATAAGGAATGAGTTTGAGAGCAATTCTCATTGTTACATGTTGTATAACAAATTCCAGTCAGGAATGCTCTAGGGTCGTCACCACAGGAAAGACATGGACCTCTTGGAGTGGGTTCAGTGGAGAACCATGAATATGATGAGAGCATGATGTGGGCTGGAGCATCTCTCCTATGAAGATAGGATGAAAGATTTAGGGTTATTCAGCCTGGAGCAGGGAAGGCTCCAGGGAGACCTCACTGTGGCCTTCCAGTTCTTAAAGGGGCCTGCTGTGAAAAGACAAGGGATAATGGTTTAAAACTGGAAAATGGTTGATTTAGATGAAAGAAGAAGGTTTTTACAATGAGGGTGGCAAAATACTGAAACAGGTTGCCCAGAGAGATGGTAGGTGCTCTATTCCTGGAAACATTCAAGGTCAGATTGAATGGGCCTCTTAGGAACCTGATCTAGTTGATGAAACCCCTGCTTATTGCAGAGAGGTTGGACTGGATGACCTTTAAACTATTCTATGAACCTATGCATGAGAAAATGTTACCATAAAACCCTGTGGCAAGAAAGGTCTGATAGGTTCCATTCAAGAGTCATCATTTTCCAGAAGTGATTGCATCCCAACTGTTGTGTGCACACATATCCACAAAAATTAAATGCACACTTCTTCAGACTCTGTGTAATGAATAATAGCCCAACAAAGCCAACTAACATTCCTTAATATTATTGCTCTCATTCTTGAAAACATTCTGTTATTTCTGCTTTTGAACTATTATTTGTTAGAATCTACTCTCTTTTGTCAAGTTAAGTCTTCTTTTGGTCTTACGTGCTTTGTGAATCTTGTGCTGCTAATACAGACCACCACTAAAGTGAAAGACAATTGCATAAAGCAATGTTTAGGATCACAGTCTTCATCTTACAAATCTGTGCAAGAGTGCAAGTAGTGATCACATAAGCAGACACCAGACACCAGATTTCTGCCAACACTGCAAAAGAGAGTACTCAGGGGAAAGCTAAAGTAGGAGCTCTGTTTACAAAACAGCAGATGCAACACTTTGGCTTCAGTCCAAGTACTCTTGCACTTTTCTGGTTTAAGCATGCTTTGTAGGAATGCATGTTTGAGGCATGCTTCTTGCTCTTTCCGTTGAAATGAAGCTTATTTGGCAGTCACCTTGCCTTTTTCTGCTGGTCTAGTATTCTACAGTAAACAGGGTGCCATAATATCAGCTGGTACATATCAGCGTAACTTGATTGATTTCATTTGCACCAGCTGAACAACTGAGGCTTAAAAAAGATTTAGAAACAATTTTTGACAAACCATTGAATCAGAATGAAATGTTTGCATTATGCAGCTATAACAAAACAACTAGGACAATATAAACATTCACGTTTTTAATTTTTCCTTAAGGTGCTAAATCAAACATCCAGACTTGAAATTCAGCTACTGGAAAATTCACTGTCAACGTACAAGCTAGAAAAACAGTTGCTACAACAGACACATGAAATCCTGAAAATTCATGAGAAAAACAGGTAAGAATGAGTAGCTGGTCTCTTACCCTCTTTCTTTTCATCACAAGGTGGTCTGTGCATACTTTGTTCTAAGCAACTGATGGAATGAAAGAAGAAAATATGGTAAATGGAAAGTAGAGGTAATGTTTATGAACTTAAGCTGCGTTAGCTCTTGTGTGATAAATGTAAGGTGATTTTTACCACTTTTCATGTTCATTGTAAGTTTGCATCTTAATTTACTTCATGACAACTTAGTCATATGTCCATGGTTCCTGGTACGAAAAAGCATAGGGATACATTTTATGAGCTCTTTCAAGTAGAAGAATATTAATAATAAATGATGAGATTTTCAACTGCCTTAAAGTGCTTAAGAAACAGTAAATCTTCAATGGTTCATCTTTTTAATTTTTGGTGGGTTCAAAGATATGACATATAGAAGGAGCTCTCTCTCCTTTCGGACTCAATCATATATAGCATACTTGGGCCCATATTCCATTTAAAGAATAAATGAATGGTAAATATTTTATGTTTATGTTGAAGCAGATGAAAAACCGGTTTAGCAACATGGAACTTTTTAAGGAGAAAAGTGAAGGTCAAGGAGAATTCCAGTGTTCCCATTCTGTGACACAGGGACTAAGTACCTGAACTCAGTGGACTTAGCAATTCAACATGTCAGAGAGCTCGTGTGGTAGCTTGGCCTCATCTGGCTGTCAGACGCCCACCCAGCCGCTCTCTCACTCCCCCTTGTCATCAGAACAGGGAGAGAAAATATGATTAAAAAGCTCATAGTCAAGATAAAGACAGAGAGATCACTCATCAGCTACTGTCATGGGCAAAATACGTTATTTACTACCAATTAATAACCGTGTAGGATGGTGAGAAACAGAAACAAAACCAAAAAGACCTTTCACCCCTACCTCCCCTTCTTCCCATGGTCAACTTCACTTCTGACTCTTCTACCTCCTTCTGAGCAATGCAAGGGGAATGAGGAACAGGAATTGTGGACAGTGCACAGCACTTTGCCTTTTCTCATGTTTTTCCCTTCTCCAGCATGGTTCTTTCCCCTTCTTTCCACCTTCTTCAGTTCCTCAGGATGAGATTGCTCCACATGGGCTTTCCACAGCCTGTAGCTTCCTTCTGGACTTCACCTGCCCCAGCGTGGCGTCTTCCACAGAAAATACCTGCTCCACCATGGTCTCTCCCATAATCTGCAGGGAGTCTCGTTCCTGCCTCTTGTCTGACCTTGGTGTCTTCAGCATTGTTTCTCTCACTTTTTCCCTCATTCCTCACACTGTGCCCTGAGGTGGGTCTGCTGGAACCACTTGTGCCCTGCAAGGGACAGCCCTGGCCTTTCCTCACAGTGACTGCCCCACTGACCCTGCTGCCAGCTCCTAGGCACTGGCACCCAGTACAGTGCAAAAAGCCATTCCCCTTCCTGACTACCTCTTGAGAGACCCAATATAACACTACTGCTGTAATGGCCAGGTGTGAGCAGGATGGACAGGGAGTGCTTTCACTCCACAGCCTCACTCTCAGCTCCCTTCCAGACAGAGCAACTGCGTGGTCAGTCTAACTAGGATTGTCTACAATCAATATTGAAATAAGTTTAGCACCTTTAAACATGAGGCAAATGCTGAAGCATCCAATACAAGGTTTAGAAGACTGTTTGAATTGAGATCAGTCAGTTTGCCAAAAGCACACCCATGGTGCTGGACAGAAATCAGCAATTGAGGCAGAAAAACCTTGCCCAGGGTTATGCATAAGGCAGACTAACACCACAGTGGGTAAGGAGTTACAGGCTAAAAATAAAGTCAAAATACAGGTAATGATGAAAAGTAGAAAATAACATTACAAAGAAATGTGTTTGCTAAATTTGTGTAGTTGCAAGGCTGGTCAAATAATATGTAATTATTGCTACCGATTATGAAAACCAATTTAATTTGTTTAATCTAACAACTTTTTATTGCCAGTAATACCAGCAAATGTTATTATGGAGAAATTGGATGACACTGAAAACTCTTGAACTCCACAGATGTCTCTTAACCCATTGGAAATGTGAATAAATTAGTGTGGGATTAACTTTGACTTCAGCCATCTCAAAACTAAATGATTCACATAAACTGTTTATGTGGGCTCTGCCTGTAGTCCACAGAAAGAGTGGGTATGGGCAGGAGGCAGTTAAGTACAACGTATTTGCACTTTTATCTGCTGCAATCTGGTTAGCAACAAAATTTTGTTGGCTGCTCAAGAGACTGATTCTTGTATACTTAGTAATCTGAATTTATTTATTTACCTTAGCAATGTATCAGAGTATAAATCCTTAATGTCAGTAAACAAATAAGTTTTACTTGAGTTGACCTTTGACTTGACTGACATTATGATGAACTGATCTGCGAAAAGTTAGAAAGAAAGGAGGGCTGTTTTAGAAAGGACACTTTATTGTTACTATCAGAGGTATATGTGGATAAATGGAAAAGCACTTGGAGTTTCATCTTGTAATGAAGCAAGAGCCTGCCATGCAGTGTGCAAGTTATTTTGTACCCTTCTTGGGAATTATAATTAGGGAGAGGGCAGGGTTATGGTTACAATAAAATATAGATCATCAGTTCTCATATTATCATCTACTCTTAACAAAGAACTGTGCAGTCTTGGCCTTGCAGATGCTGAAATTAATTATGTGTGTCAGGTTCACTGTGGGACAGATCTTGGCTATCTCAGCAGATACTAGGTTTCTGGACATGCCCATGATTTTAGCTTGTTTAAATTTAAACAGTATTTACAGATTACCCATCAGGCTGTGTTTAGTAGCTATTTGCAGTTAAATTCTCTTCATCTTTCCTTGTATCACTTTCACATCAATAAAATAGAGAAACCTCCTTTTATACATGTTGAGTGTGTGGATGGTAAGCTTTTTTGGAAAAGGCCTTTTTATTCAGTAGGTGTACACCACAGTGGAAACTGCAAGGAATTAAAGAATACCTTGTCTGTCTCAAACATTGTTAAGGCCACAAAAAGGGCTCACCCTAAGATAAGAAGACATGCTAGCCACCACACTGTAACTTGAGATAAGGACAAAAGAGATGAGTTTGAGCTAATTCCAGGCCTGGCAGAGGTGAGATCTGGTTAGCACATCCTGATTCACATATCTGTATGAACTGTGGCAAGCTTTATAA